TTACGCCACTAAATTTCAATAAAATAACTATATAACTATATAAAAGAATGGGAAAACATACACATGCCTGCTCTTCCTCTGTGTGGCCCTCTCCTGACGAGCCAACTTTTGCCTTTTTTTAGGTGAGGACTCAGGGATGTCATTCTTTCTCTTTGGCAGATTCTGACTGGGCACTGAATTAGGACGCAGCTTATGTCTCTGAACATCTGGAAAAATAATGTTAATAATAAGATTGGATGTAATGTTTTAGTATGGGTTAGTATGGGTTGAGAGCAAGCTTTGGGTTGGTCAAACACAATAATCATTTGCAGAGTATTGCAGAGTGATTACTGTCAGAGAAAATATTGAACGATAACATTTTAAAAATATTGTTTTAACTCACTGGCTGTCGCTGGAAAATAATCTGATGGCAGAAAATGCCGAGAACAAATCCTCATAGCAGAGGACGCTGGCTTGCCCATCTTCAATGCCACTTCCCATTGACGCTTTACTTTCACGTCTTTCGGAAATAAATGCATACTGATTCCGGTGTCCGCATATTGTGAACACTGGGGGGCACTACAATAATTAGAATTACGTTTCTTTTTGTCCGACGGACCGGCACCGGCATAATTGTGCTCCATAACAGCTTGGTTCGCTCGCTACGCCTATGGTTGCTACGGCGCCGCTCGCCCAGTTGTCTTGCTTAGGGAGCTTCGCGGCGCGGCCGCTAGGGGCGCGCGCGTGAACCTTTGGATCGCCAATATGCCACGCCCCAATGGTCGTGAGCCGCGGTGGTGGCGCGGGGACCGGGCTGCCGCGCCTCCTGCCCCTGCTGAAGCAGGGGCATGGAGCGCGGGAACCTGAGTCAGTGGTGCATTTTCTTTGTGCAAACCAGCTCAAAAAATAGGATATTACATTTGAGTGACGTCACGGCCAGGCCTGAGTCTGTCGCGAGGTGTCATGGCCGCTAAAGGCTTTGTTTACGTGCCGCAGCGATTTTCGTAGTTTTCTTTCAAAGATTTATCATAGACTGTGTGAAACGATCAAGTGTTGTCCTGAAATCATCCGTCTGACCGTGCGAATGAAATGTGTCGTTGCAAGAGACCGCTGTGATTCATGTGCTTGGGGCCTTTCATAACATCCTACACATTAAATGAAACACCGTCGGGAATGTCATCCCCTCCAGCAATTGTTCTTCGGATGACGCCTGAACGTTGGGGCGGGTCCTGGCGCCGTGTCCTGACCCGAGACGCGTGTGCCGGGGCGAGGGAGTGGCGCGGAGGCGACCCCTCCCCCCGCACTCGGCCGCCCTGGTAACCCTGTCAACCGCGAGTGGTAATTGTTTTCGCTTGCCCTCACTGCCTCACTGCCCGGCCGAATCTTTAGGTAAGCGGAGTAGCGGCAACAAGCAGACGACGCGACGCAGACCAGGCGGCTGGCATTCCCGCCATTTCCCCCCCTCCCCGCCGCCGCCCGGCTCGAGCCGCCGCCGGCCACGGACGGCGCGCCACCAGCCACGGCCTATGTCCCGCCTCCGTCCGCCGCTCAGTCTGTTGTCGGTGTCCGCAGAGTCAAGTCGCGTCGTTTGTGTTCTCGCCTGCCTGTCCGTGCCTGTCCGTGCCTGCCTGCCTGTTTGAACGTGCCTGTGTTTGAACGTGCCTGTGTTTCAAAGGTGTCCCCATCGTTGTTGTTGTTGTGTGCTGTGTCTTCGTCTTCGTCTTCGGTGCCCTTGCTCGCACGTGTTCCGGGATGGAGATGAACATTGAATTCCGGGAGCAAGACCTACCCGCAGAACTGCTGATCTACAAGGAGGTGGAGGTGATCAGGAGATCGTGCGCATTGATAAGGAACTTGCCACCCCCTAACTCGACGCCCTGGTAAAAATGAAGTGTCGAGGAAGTGTCCCTTTTTAAGGGCGCATGGAGTGTTGATGAAGTGTCAATGAAGTGTTGGTGAAGCTTCCAAGAAGTGTAAAATGGAACCGTGAAGTGTTCACTCTGAAGTGTCCTGAAAGAGTTGAAGAAATGTTCACTAGGGCTGGGGTTAAGTGTCAGGGAAGTGGCCCCGAAGTGCTCATAGGGTGTAGACGAAGTGTTCTCAAACGTAATGTGATCGTAGGTACCCTGTACGCTTCACGTATGGAATTTGACAGTATGTGGGTGATCAAATGACGCAACGCAGGAAAGGCGATCCTTGAGAGGACTTTGGGTCAGCCCGCGGACGACGTCCAAACATTAGTATTATGCCGCGGACCATTGTCACACCATCCCGCTTGTGCAAATGATGACACCGGGGTAGCCGACCAACCGCTCAGTCTAGCGGAGTAAACCCCGCGAGCGGCCGTCCTAGCAGCGCTTGCAGCGCCATCTCGTGAAAGCAGAACAACCACCAATTGGAACCGATCAGGCGTTGTCTGCCTAGTGTTTCGCGTTGGCCCGACCCACGTCATGACGAACTGCTAGCGCAGTGGTCAGCGCAGTTGCGCCGGTGACTCTGAAGCGCGGGTTCGATACTCTTCCTTTTCCACTTATTTTTCAGAGGTTTCGAGGTTCAAGTCGACACGCATGCCCGTTGCTCTGGTAGCAAGTTGTTTGGAACACCTCGTAAACATGTCACTTTCTTTTCGAACTGGAATGAAGTGAACACTTGAGCGACACTTTAAGGACACTTCATGCAACTTTGGTTGGCACTTCGGAGGACCTACGCTGACCCTTTGCTAACACTCACCCCTTCGACACTTCGTGAACAGTTCATAAAGTGTTGGTGAAGAGCAGCCGAAGAGTCAGTGGTCGAAGTGTCTGGGAAGAGTCTGGCAAGGATCCACAAAGGGGATGTGAACACTTTAAAGTTCCATTTTGCACTTTATCCCACTTCGTCAACACTTCGTTCCAACACTTCATTTTTATCAGGGCGGCTTTGTGGAAGGCCCATGCCAACAGATGCATCAAAGTAAGTTATCAACAAGACGGCTTGCAAGCGCGGCAGGCGGAATGAGAAATTGGTCAGCCACACACTGCTACCAACCTAACCACGATAATTACCTAGTTCAAAATGATGTTTAGAATATTTCAAACGATGATAATAGTTAATCTGAGATAAACTCCCCCTGTAGGATGTTGAGGAGACATCAGGTGTGAAATTTGGATACTATTCGTTCAGTAGTTGCTGAGAAACGTGAGTGATTACATACAGACACAGAGACAGACGCACGACCAGTCACTTTTTGGAGCGCCCAAACACGGCAAGGGCTTCGCTATCGCGCAGCCAATTAAGAGTACTATAAACAAACCGTCAAATACTGTCCCCTCCATTGACCAATTATATGGTGAGTGTAAATAAAAACTTATGAATTTTTTGCAGGTCCTTGAAACTTGGATGCCCTGCTGCATTTGAGATAAATGCTGAGAGAGGGTTCCCCTCAAGTCTTAAGAGTCACACAATTCAAAAACAACCATGTGGGGCATCCATGTACTCCTGAATTCGCACAGTTTGTCCCTGGCAGGAGGAAGCTGGATGCGGAGGAGGAAAAAAGAGGCCGTGAAAATGATAAATGCCAGAGGAAAGCCCATGGCTATCAGAGATTCGAGAAACGATTTATTTTCGCACAGCACCTCATGTGGCTCGTTACCTTGCAGAACTTACTAAAGCCTGCGACGAGGCCCTGCGTCTAATGCCAGACCACACGACCGCCTTACCGACTGACTTTTTGTCTAACTGCCCTATATGCCACGCCCCAATGGTCGTGAGCCGCGGTGGTGGCGCGGGGACCGGGCTGCCGCGCCTCCTGCCCCTGCTGAAGCAGGGGCATGGAGCGCGGGAACCTGAGTCAGTGGTGCATTTTCTTTGTGCAAACCAGCTCAAAAAATAGGATATTACATTTGAGTGACGTCACGGCCAGGCCTGAGTCTGTCGCGAGGTGTCATGGCCGCTAAAGGCTTTGTTTACGTGCCGCAGCGATTTTCGTAGTTTTCTTTCAAAGATTTATCATAGACTGTGTGAAACGATCAAGTGTTGTCCTGAAATCATCCGTCTGACCGTGCGAATGAAATGTGTCGTTGCAAGAGACCGCTGTGATTCATGTGCTTGGGGCCTTTCATAACATCCTACACATTAAATGAAACACCGTCGGGAATGTCATCCCCTCCAGCAATTGTTCTTCGGATGTCCTGCAGACGCCTTAAAATCTACATTACAAGCTGCCGTTGACTCGCTCGCTTTAAAACGCATTTTGAGCTGTGTAAATGTATTTGAATTAGGCAGCAGATGATTCGAGAAATAATTCAAGCATTTAATTGCAAAAACTACTTAGATTCTTGTTTTTTTGGCCCGCCCTTCTATTCAAAAAATAGGGGGAGGGCCTATGCATTTGCCTTTGTGTCTGTGTGTTGTTGTTGTTGTTGTTGTTGTTGGCGTCTGTGTACAAGGAAGGAGTTGAGCTAGAGTAACCAGATTTGGAGGGTACTTCAGGAGTACCGTCCCAACAAATAATCCGGTGGTGCAAATCCCGTCCGGGTCGCACAAGGGCTGCTGCAGGTGCATCATGGTTTACATGAGCGGGAGGGGGATTTCCGCCATTATTGGTGCTAGCAGGGCACATAGGGGTATTTTTGGAATCGGGGCGACGAGACAAGATGAATGGACCTGGTCCCCACCCCATCGGCCGCTTTTACAAGTTGGCCAGATCAGGATCTTCAAAAAAGGGGGTCGACCGACTAAAAAAATTTATTGCAGATTTCGATTGGTCTCAGCAAGACCTTTTCAACGAGGGGTCGGAAAGGGGGTCCAGGAGCCCGACTTCGTCTATTAGTCACATCAGGATCTTGAAAAAAGGGGGTCGACCGACTGAAAATTTTTACTTAAGTTTTGGATAGGTCTTGGCAAGACCTCTTCAACGAGGGGTCGGAAGGGGGGTCCAGGAGCCCGCCTTCATGAGTTATGGGAAAAAGTGCGACGGACTCGTTTTGCGCTCCTGCTGTGCCTCTATTGCAAGGAGTTGCAGTAGCATGGCAAATATGGGTATTTTCGGAATGAGGGCGAAGAGACAAATGAAATGGGCATATTCTAAGGACAGTTGGAGTAAAAAGTGTAAGGACTATTGAATATTGTGAATAGAAGGGCGGGCCTAAGTCACGATGGTACATCGATAACTTTGCTTTACCCGCTCACGGTGTGTGTGATGCGAGCGGGCCGAAGGCCCGGGCCTTCGACTGGCCAAGTTGGGTCTGATGCGAGGGCCGAAGGCCCGAGAAAAGGCCGCCGGCAGGCCAAGCTGGGCCGGCCCCCTGTCGAACCGAGTTGCTCTGCGGGCAGGTTCAGGCTACTGCCTGGTGCCTTTGCCCGAGGAAGTTGATTTACGGGATTATCAGTGTTTTCTGTGCCGGCAGCCTGTGACTGTAAGTATTACAATGTTTTTAGAAAGGAAAAAAAATTACTCGGTAGAGAAAAAAAACAACTTAACGTCGACATGTGTCTACATTTGGAAATGTTTTTGTTACATTTGTTACTTAGTACGAGGTTATCCGCTCGTGTCCCGAGCCTGTAACTATTCTTGGACTGCCGGAGGCAGACGCTGTGGCATCAGACCCCGAGCCTGAACAGCGCAGTGACCATCCGTCCACCGAATCTCCGTTGCTGTACAACGCCCTGACCGACCCCACTATGTAGCCGCGAGTCGCACTCATCGATTTGTTCGACCTAGACTGGAAAATTGATTTCAAAAATGATGTTCCCGACAATTAA